TCAGAGCTTTCATCTGCTTTGAGTAGGAGCTTTGTTAGGCATGAGCTCTCACTAAGCAGTTGCAGAGGACCCACCAGAGTGGGTCGGTCTTCAGCTGGGGATTTCTCATGTTACTACAATAAGAATAAATAAGAGTCATAACTGAGATGTGTACATACACTCCCTTAGCTGCTACATCATTACATAGTAGTGGGGTTAAAAATAAAATATCACAACTCTTTATTCATATCAAATAACAATAGTGTAGAAAACTTCCTCTAGGAACAGATGAGATGTGCTCTTAAAATGAATAAAACTCCCCGTCAAAGGCTCAATGCAACTGGCCATGTGGATATATCATTACACTGACAGACTGAACATATTATAAGTTCCCTCTTGACCCACATGCTCTTAATAAAAGGTTTTATTTCATTCCTCTGCACACATAGGCTTCTGTTGCAATCTCCCTCGAGAAAGCTTTGCTTACCTCCTGGAGCCTGAAAAACATTCCCCTGCTCCTGCACACTAATCTGCTCTGGAAGACCAGAAGTCCTCATCAAACTTCTCTGTTCTGTAATTCCTTGCTGAATGCTGGCTTTCAAAACAAGCCAAAATGGGAAACAAATGCTTATCCCATCAGAAAGTTCTGGCATGTTATACTAAACAAACAGGGCATGTGCAGTACATATATGTCCTAGGAAGAAAGAGTTCTTAGTATCAGGTTAACATTGCTTTCTACTTCAGATCTGTATACAAATAGCACAGGGCTGTTAAAGGGCAGTAGTTAACCACTTAGTGAACCAGCAGGACAAACTGCATCTTCTTCACGTCCTTAGGTCACTGTGGCTTTAAGAGGCAACTTTATGAACTTAACTCTGACTTTCATACAAGGATTTCAAAGAATTTGGGAACCACAGAAGCAACATATTGATTCAGCAGGGGGCCTTTTTAAGAAGAAATGGAATTACAGTTCTGGTAATAACATCTTCTCCATTGCAAAACTTCTTATTTCTCAAGTAGTGAATCCAACTAGGTTGCTATGCATATAAGTTATATGATTCTCTTGTAGAGTAAGAGTGATCAGGGAGCTGGTCCAGTGATGCCTTTAGTGGCAGGTGAGGATTTTTTAAATCTTTTCCACCGTCCTTTTAAGTGATAGCAGCCTGCCTCAGTCTTTTCATGCTTATTTATTTAAAAGAATAAAGGAAAAGTCCACACTGAATCTGATTATGCTTGACCCAAGGAAATTTCCTTTTGGCTCTATGAAATGATGGGTTTGTAATCCATACTGTGACAGTATAAAGTAAACAGTTTTTACTAAACAGAGCAATGGTACTATTCATAGAACTAGATAACCTACAGTTGTCAAGTGACATATAGTTCAGTATTACCTTGCTGCTGTAAGACAGCTAAACCTATGATTTGAAGAAAAATTAAAAGCACAGCCTAGCCAGCCTTTATGAAAAACCATAGCGGCCTGCTTAAACTAAGAGTGAGCTGAGGAAGGGACATTGATTGTCTTCTCCTGAGTATGCTGGTGCCAACTTGCTCATCACTAGCATGATCTCAGAATTTCAGATTTCAGAAAAGACATGCTTTACCAGCATGGACAGGCACCCACACTCATGGCTATGGACTTTCTGAGCTTATTTATTGAAGTTAAGGATAAAAGAGACCTGAACACTGCCACCTGAGATTGTCAGTAGACAGGACACAGATGAAACACTTTGAGCATGGACACGTTCAAGATTCTTCATCAGGAGAGGATGGTTGAGTAAGGAACATGGCATCAAATAATAGCCAGAGATCAAGGAGCATCTGGACAACACTCTCAGACGTATGGTCTGATTTTTGGCTGGTGCTATGTGGAGCCAGGAGCTGGACTCAATGATCCTTCTGGGTCCTTTCCGGCTTGGGTCATTCTACGATGCTATGATACAGCCGCTAATATTTTTGACCTCGGGTGTGAAAAAGCAAGACAGCTGCACATCACCACTCATGCAGCGAGCCACCAACCAACACAGTTAACTCACTTTATAGGGTGTCCACCTCTTCCTGGCCACCAGCAGCAGTTTATGCAGAATGCAGAGCCAAATTTGGGCCACCAGACACTTTTCAGTATCACACAGGTACCCTGCCACCACGGGGCACAGCAAAACACTTCACACGGTACTTTGCTCTAAAGACACTTCTGATCCCATCATCTTATTTGTGCTGAAGTGTGAAGTGATGGTGCAGTGTTGTGCTTGCTTGGTGTCCGCACAGTACACCCACAAAAGTCATTAAGTGGAATGAGGGGAGAGCTAATTGCAGCATTTCAGCTTATAGCAGTCCCCTGTGAGATGCAGTGTGTGCCTTTAAAAGCGTTCCTCATTGCACCAAAGTATTTACTGCAGTTCTTGTACTTCAAATGGGAAATAATGCAACTACAGGGGCAGTAACGCAACTAGCGTGGGTGGTAGCCAGCCAATTCTTCTTACACTTACACCATATTTTGTTCCAGAAGATCATATTAATGCTGTTATGGGAATTACAAAATTGTTGTAACGGGACCTGCTAGGCAATATTGTGTATGGGGAAACTTAAAATAGTAATGACCACCCTAAATTCATCACTACAGCTACTCTTCTTCAGTTCAGCCTTCTGTCTCTCTGCAGGCTTTCTAGTTTAATGACTGTTCATCCTTTCATGTTAACAGCAAAATACTAACTACTGAATAAGAGAGTGTATGTGTATACTAGCAAGATCATTAATCCAAATAAATGTGACAGCAGAGTTGCACAAGAAATGCCACAGTTAGCGGAAAGCACAAACTGCAGTTTTGGGTGCAAAATACTGTAATTACAAGGGATGGAGAGAGCTCCACAGTTTTTATCCCCACAGAAATCAATATCAGTGCAGACTGCTGCTCTTTGCTGGAGCAGGGGCAGTCTGATGAAAGAGCTTATTGATTTATCCAGCTGATGCTACAGTAGTGAATAATAGACTGAAAGAGAAAGAGCTTGCAAATTAGGCTCATTCAACTCAACGTTTTTCAGGACACCTTTTATATACATAAACATATAGAGATATATGTTTACAAGTGAGTTTTACCAAAGCAACAGCCTCATGGTAAGTTGGGCCCATCCAGTAACTCTTTGATCCCAGCTGCTCAGACAGTGCAGTCACTGAGGTCTGCCTCTGAGCAGGAAGCACCAGAGCACCCTCAGACAGGATCTGGCCATTGGACAGGCAAGCAACTGGCCGACGCAGCCTCCTGAAAGGCTGGACACAGAGGGCAAGTAGTTGTGGCACTAAGTGGCACCCATCAGCATGACAGCTTTGAGATCTCTGGTAGGTCCAGATGTTCCCAGGCAGGGGAAATGCCAGCTTCAGGCCAGCCCTCACCAGCCTCATGTGCAATATTTTAGGAATGAAGAGGTCCATGTTCCTTCCTTGCTTATGGGCAGATCTGCTCTGGATCTAGACTCACATCAGTGAAAATATAAAAGAGGCAGAATGATTTTGCATAAACTGCAAGGAAAGAAAGAATGAAAGAGAGAGAGAGAGAGAAAACAGTAGGCACACTGCCATAAAGTGCAACAAATCAATCTTCCCAGAGGTGATGGATCTGGAAGCAGCACTGTAGGTTTTACAGGTGTATGAAGCCTCAGGAGTATAAAGACACCACTAAAACACTGCCATTAAATTCCAGCACTGAAGGATGATCATAGCCCCTGGAGCCAAGTGGGTCAATATGTGACTGAATATTTTTCATTACCATTTTTATATACATATATATGAAGCAGAGTAAGATTCACAATAACCTTACATTCTCTCCCACTGAAGGCTTCTGCTTTATACTCAGCATCCACTTTCACAAATAAAATGCAATATACCATCAACAGATAAATGAGATCCCTATAGGGCTTTTATTCTGCTGTACTATTATATCTATTCTTCCACCAGATTTCTGCTTAAATGGCTCTCTTTATGCACATACACAAAGATGACATACACCTGTCTAAATATAAACTGATAGTAAAGAGCTCTTCTGTAGAGGGGATGTATCTTTTCTTCCTAATTTACCATAATGACTTATTCATACTACTGGAGCTACAGATGCGTTAACTTTCCCACTATGATAGTTACAGAGATGTTTTACAATAAGACAGGGGAAAAAAAATCCAGCCATGTCTTTGGAAAATAAAAAGCCTAAAGCTCTGAATCTTACCTTTCTATATTCCTCTTAAAAACAAATATTGGAGAGCTACACTTTTTATGCTGTTGACATTGACTAATAGCTTTTCACACAATGAAATTGATGGTGCAAGTCACACTGAAGAAGTGTTTTTGGCCAATCTGGGAACCTTGGGGCAAAATACTGACATAGAGTATCACAAGAGGTTGCTGTCAGGACAGTAGCCACCTACTTAGAAAGTAGACCTATTAGTTTAGTGGTGTTACTTATGTGGCATTGGGTCTATTTCAGTCACTAGTCATCTGTCAGAGAGAATAAAAATTCCTGACTCTTTTTTCATTAGAAAACTCTAAGCATATTATGATCTGGACACATTGATACTGGATGGTCACTACCACAGCTTCTTGGGCAATGAAGAGCTGAGGCTCAAAAGAGAAGAAGGAAGAAATGTCTTGTACTTTTCAGGAGAGAGGTTATTGTACTCAGGTTATTCTAACAAAATGCAAATAGAAATTTCAACATACCAGCAGAATGGAGAAGACTTCATTTTTAAGAATGGATGACAAAGACATAGAAGACATTGCTTGCAAAAAAGTCGGAATCACAGCACAAGCCTACTCTTGCTTTCATCTCAGTCTTATTAGTCCATAAGACGGGACCATGGCATGGACAGACACAGACTGAACAAATCTCAGTACTAGAGCAGACCTTCATGATGCTACTGCATAAGTCATATGAAAGTTGTATAGGTAACAGCTGTCAGGAGATATACGATGACAAGATCTTTAGCAGGTTTTTCTATGGCTACATCTTTCCTGGACCCCAGAGCTGATGCACTTACCCTGCATGCAGAGCCCGTCGGTGCAGTTCTTGGACTGTAGCACCAGTCCCTCGCAGTCCTTGCCTCCATTCTTCGGGGCCGGGGCTGTGCACTCCCTCCGGCGCCAGTGGGTACACTCTGTGCCACAAGTGGACCACTTGCTCCAGGACGTCCATTTGCCATCCACTGAGACAAGGAGAGGACGCAAGGTGTTAGGGGAACAGGTACACAAAGGGATGCGTGGGATCAAGGCAAAGCATTGCTCTTCTTGGAATAACTCTGCCTGGAATTTTCAGTTATCCTCACAAGGAAGAAGGGCCCTAAGCCATGCCAACACGTGAATCAATGAAATGAACCAGCCTGTATTTTTAAAAGTCCTATTTCTGTCCCAGCATCATTTCTGCTCTTCCTCTCCCTTTTTAGAAACATGTCAGCAGTTTATCTATGCTCAAAGTGTGCAATTTGGCAATCTGTGATTTTTTTTCCTTTTTTTTTTTTAACACAGAGGTTAAAATTAAACTTGGCCAGAAGCTCTTCTCTAGAACGAAGATACTTAATTTTAAATATTTGATACTAAAAGAATTATTTAAAGGCACGGGTATATTTCACAAGAATAGAATCAGGAATGCATTTAGCACCTTTCAAAATCCCACAAATTATTTTCAAAAGCAAAATGTGAAACAGTCAATGAACTAATAACTAAATTATTCCAGTAATACAGTTTGAGATAGTAGTCTGCAACTTGGAATAATGAGAAGAGGTGAGATTTTTGCTCATTTGAGCTCCTTTGACCCACTTCTATGACTCAGTCTTGGATGGCCAAGCTTCCTTAGTTGAAGTGACACCACGGTGACACTAATTTCAGTGATGCAGCCAACATAGGAGAGTACTAGGCAGTAGGACAGACGGCAGAATGTTGTCATGGAAAGGCCACAAACTACCCTCTGTCTCCTAAAACAATTTTGTAATTTTCATAAGTTTGCATTTAAATACCTTTTAAAGGTATTGCATTTGAAGTTGGGTAAATGTGCCTGAAATTTGGCATCCGCTCTCCATGTGTCTCAAATGATGCACTTGCTGTGACAGCTGGACTGAACAGACATTACAAATTTATTTGCATCACAGTCACTTTGTGGACTCAAATTCCTGTCCTCTTCCAGAGCTTTCAGACTTTATCTGCCACTGTTTGAAGCTCTGAGCGTTCTCCAAATCCCCTGAATTACTAAGGTTGAGACAAGGTCGCAAGCTGTGTACAAAAGTGGGACCAAATCTCTTGCTGCTTGATGTAATGTATGCACCATTTTTTCTACTTACATAATATAATTTCCTATTCATTCACTGAAATGCTGGATTTATTAATAAAGAGAATGAAGCTTCTGTGGCTAGCAGCCTTCTCCTGAAATGACTGGTGCCAGAAAAAAAAAGCATGCATTGAGAGCTATATGCTGTTCATACCATACCTGGACACAGGGTGGTGCAAGCTATTTTCTGAACGTTTTGCCCCTCGCAGAAGGCCCCCCCATTGAGTGGGGCAGGGTTAGTGCAAGTCCTTGTGCGCTTCTGGAAGCCTCTCCCACAGCGGCTGTTGCACACCGACCACTCAGTCCAGGTAGACCAGCCTCCATTCACTGGAAAGCAAGAGGAAGAGTGTGACACTGCACGAAAGCTATCCTGGAAATAACTTCCACTGCACCTCTTTCTTGGATTTATCCATCATCTACAAACACTGAGACATTCTCATGCTTTCAACAGGAAGAGTTGGAAGTGATGATTTCTCTCTCTTTCTTTTCCAGAAGCTGATTTTGGGGTGTCAGGGTAACTCCACTCACCCCAGTGTAGAAACAGCTGGTGCATATGAATGACCTAGCACCTCCATGACAAATATTTAAGCTGTTCAGAGTGAGCTTACACTATTTTTTATTTTGGACTTTGGGAAGATATTTATCCTTGGGAAGATGTTTATGCCCACTCTTTTCCACCTGCCTCAGCTTCTGGTTTAGACAGAAGAATGATGTGGACAGAGAGGGAACTGTGCCACTCTATGTATTAATGGCATCATCAGGGTATGGATAACATACCAACTGTTTAAACTCCCCAGCTCCCAAATATCTGTAGTACAACACAACCCTTAAGGGGATCTAATATCAAAACCCACACAAGTGGCTGCTCCTCTACATACATTCTTGACTTCACTGTTCAAAAAAAACCACTGTATATAAATGAGGAGGTGTTCAAGCATGCCTATATGTCTATGCTTTTGCATTCACCACAGTTACAAAAAAACATTGCTTTTGCAAGGTCCATCTCTCAATATCAGAAACGCTGCTAATCAACTCAATTCAGCTGTTTTTCTATAAAATCTGATCTAAAAGGCCCTCATTGTAACTTCAGGGAAGCAACTGCTTACAATTAAATCTAACTGCTAGACTGAATATGAAATGAATATTAGGGATAATCATAGGGATTTCTTCCCACTTGTCTATCCTATAATTAAGCTGATTGTAAGGAACACCAGGATAGTCAGCTGGCGTGCTGTCAGATCAGGTTTTGTTCTGCAGGATACCCCAGCTTGGGAAGCATTGTAGCAATGGCTTACAGGGGCAGAGACTCAGGCTGTGGGGAAGAACAGGACAGGCTAGAAGAGACCCCAGTAGAAATACTGGGCTGGCCAAAGGAAGGCCAACCTCAATATCAGATCAGGAGTGTTGTGTAGAATAATGCTATTCAATACTTTCTACTCTCCTTATATTTATTTCTAAGCCAGGTTGTGCTCCTATGAATTGAAGTCATACAGTGCTTTGGGAATTTGTCTGATCAGAATATGCTTTGGTAATAGGCATAAAAAATACGTTGATTAGAAGAGGGATAAGTAGATGGGTGATTCTGTTGAACAGACACTCTTACCAGTACATGGAAGCACAGATTTCATTGTAGTTTCACTCTTATTTCTGAAAAGCATCAGTGAGAGAATGAAATGTAAGGGCAGAAAGCAAGGTGTGATGCTGAAGGAAGCCTCCATGTAGCTATTTGGTTGCTAGCAGCAGTAAGAGTTGCATACAGGCATGTTACATCTCTAGAAGCCTCCCTGCTGATCGTTCACCCCTGTGCAGCAGGAAAAGGCATCACTTACCATAGACGATCACGGTTGCTGTAGTGCTTTTCCTTTTGGCCACAATGTTTTTGGCAACACAAGTGTAGTTGGCTGTGTCAGAAAGCCGGGCTTGCTTGATGATCAGATTGTGATCAATGGTGATGTAAAAGTTTCGGTCTTCCACAGGATCAATCACCTCTTCATTCTTCAGCCACTCCACCTGAGGGATTCAAAGGGCAGGAGGGGAAAAACTGAATCAGCACTGGTCACACCATAGTGGGCTCAAAATCTGCCATGGTCTTGCCTATCTCTGAGAGAGTTATGTTACAGTATGTATGGTTATGTTACAGTTAACTGTAACTATGTTACAGTACAAAGGACTCACCTGGTGCACACTGCCAACTGGAAGGCAGCACCATGGCAGGAGAATGGAAGAGAAAAGTTGACATCTACCTTTTTCTTCAGGCTCACTATCTCCCACCATTACTCTCACTGAATGGCTTGCCTTCAAAATATTAATGCATTTTCAGAGTCAGCCAGCTGCTATGTGTGCTTTCAGAGCAGGAGGCATGGGATATGGAATAGGATAACTAAGGTCTTTATCTACATGCAGAACATTCCCTTACACCAGAAACCTAAAACAGCCCAAGTCTCTCACCCATTCTTTGTACATCTCATCTAATAGTGCAGTAACCTTGTCTATATCTGCACAAGTTGTAATACAGCAAGGCCACATAAAAGATAGATTGCAAACAGGCCAAAATTATCTAGTATACATGCACTCACGCATACATGTCTGTTATTGTTCTGCTATAGTCAGGGTTAAACGAAACAGGGGCAGTTACCAAGGAAATAGAAGCTCAAAAAGACTACATCGGTGCTTAGATTTCCCTTTTCTTTATATAAACTGTATTTCATTTTAATAAAGCGTAATTTCCTTGGTTACACAGAAAAATATTTTTATACGTGATTTTTAATCCAGACAATGTTCTTTTTATTGCCTTCCCAAAGAAACACCCTATTATATCCCAGCTGACTGCTGTGAGCCACCCTTATATAATTTGGCTGAAAAACTAGTAGCTTGTTTTCCTTTGAACTGAGTGTGCTCTGAAGGAAGGGACTGGGGACCTGGATGGATCAAAGCAGGGCCTTCGTGTCTCTGGATCATTTCAGCTTGTGCCCAGAGTTAATGAAAGGAAGAAAAATATAAACACAATCAGCCTGCTGGGCCCAAGAGGTGCTATCTGCCAAGGCCTGCTCTCTCAGACTGCACTTTGATGCGCTGCTCAACAGCCACATATTCCGAAACCATCCTAAAACAAGTGATGCTAAAAGTCCTGCAGAAATTGATAGGAATGGGTGAGAAATAAAAAGACATAAATCTTTGAAAACTGTGTTTCTATCACTGCAGTGTTCATGTTTTTAAAACACAAACTCTTGGTCATAACTTGGTTTTGCTTGCCAGGATGATTGAAATTGTTCTTTTCCTGAATCCCAATGGCCATCAAGTATAATCAAGATGGACAGACTCTTGTTCAGTCAGTGACAATCTCTGGCTGCTTCCCCACATGCAGGTCAAGTCTGCATGCAACCCAGACTGAAAAACCAGCCAGCTGCTCACCTCTTCTCCTGCAGGTTGCAACTTAACCCCCATCTCTCACACAAATCAAGCATCTTCCTGTTTTTTCAGTCCTACTGTATTTCTGGAATGGAGTGTTAGGACTCTAAAAGATGCTACACACAGTGCCAGAGTTGTGTACCCCACCACCTTCAGACCCACCACTACTTTTCCTGTGATCTGCACATTGAGAAAATAGGGACATCAGTGAGGACAGGAATACACTTGTATCACGGTCTGAGGCTCAGTCAACAATTTTCCTTTTATAGCCATGTAAATATATGCACCAGCCCTGCTCACCAAGAGCTCTGTACTCAATAAATACCAGCACTCTGCAACACTCTCTCTCTCTTTACAAAAGCACACACATGCATATTCAGCTTGAGTCTCAGCTGATTAGACAAAATTAAAGCTATGAGCATTAAATTCCCTTTCATCCCTGCAAGAAAACTGAAGAGGATATGAAAATAAGAGTTGCCAATATCAGAAAAAAAAAGAGGCTCTACATAATTCAGTATACTGCCTCTAGCTCTTTGTCAAATCAGCTGGGAAAATGATCCTCTTCACCTAATGGCTTACAGAATTTGCTAACAATAAAACATTAAGCTTGCAGAACCACAGGATTTATTTTTTCTTCTGAAAAATCTGCTTTGCCAGTACACTGGTACTGTGTGTGCATGTCTAAATCTCATCTCTTTTACTAGGTACTTCTTGAACATAGTCCAACTCATTCTTGTGTTGATATCTGGGTTTTAATGATGTAATAATGAGTCTGTTCACACAGCAAAGTATCACAAAATCTGAAGGGAGGAGCTGAAGAGAAAACGTCTGAGACAAGAGAAGGGATGCTTCCTCCTTCCACATTTTAGCCATTAGTATAAAAAGCAACACAGAAAAGAGCACGCTGATCCTGCAGTAATTAGCTCTTGTGTTTTTTCCTTCAGTCCTTGTACAAAAGTTAACTAATTAAAGCACATTACAACATGTAAATAAGAATTCTGTTAGTATATATTTTCAGTTGCTAACAGCCTATTTTTTTTTCTGAAGCTACTCACCCACTGGCTGCAGTGCTCAGCACTCCTGCCAAGAGGCAGGTTTGAGTTGAGAGGTAAGCAGATCTAAGGAGAGCAGGGCTGTTTTCATGTAGATATAAACTGATCAGGTGTCAAACACAAAAGAGAGCAAAGTGGCTGAGACTGTGATTTGCGAATGATAAGTATGCAAACTGTTATTACTGAAATTAAAAGCAACACTCTCTTGTGACACCATGTTATTCCCCAGACTGTAGCCCTCCCACTTTGTGCCACAGACCTGAGCTCTACCAGGTGGGCAGGCAGAGGTGAAGTGGGATTCCCACGGGCATTCTGAGATCCACAAGATGTCCGTCTTCAGGGTCAGGCTAAACCAAGCCCCTGTGACTTTGTTTTTCAATGTCTTCTCCAGAGAAGACATTTCTGGAGGAGATGCTTGCTATTCCTAGATATTCAGAGTATGCATTTGCTAGCTATAGTCACAAAGATTCTTTAACAGATATCTCCAGTACCTGGGGGCCTACAGGAAAGCTGGGAAGGGACTTTTATAAGGGCATGTAGCAGCAAGATGAGGGGAAATGGTTTTAAAACGGAAAAGGGTAGATTTAGACTAGATATTAGGAAGAAATTTTTTACCGTGAGGATGGTGAGACACTGGAACAGATTGCCCAAGTGAGGTCATGGATGCCCTTTCCCTGGAAGCTTTCAAGGTCAGTCTGGATGAGACTTTGGGCAACCTGGTCTAGTGGGAGATGTCCCTGCCTCTAGCAGGGGGGCTGGAACTAGATGATCTTAAAGGTCCCTTCCTAACCTAACCATTCTATGATTCTATGATCTAGATCTGTCTACTCAATTAAACCAGACATATCTCTCCAACTATTACTCATAAATGCATGGATAGCCGTGCAATGGTATAGAACAAGCCTGAACATAAGTTTTCTTTCATCACAACAGCAAACATTTAATCAGCCACAATACTGCCATGAAGGATAAGTGTTCTCTCCTGGACATGCCAGCTATGGAAAATAACAACGCTTACCCAGCTTTCATAAACATCAGCCCTCCAGAACAAAGCCAGAATGAAATTCTTATCTCTATTTCCAGTTTCCCAGCTCAGGTAATTTTACTTTAGATGTCTGTAAGCAGAGGAGTGAGCACAGCGGATGAGCTCAAAGTCCCTGCAGTTGCTCAGAAGGTACCTCCCAACCTGCCATAAGACCCAACTGTCCCTCTGAGCAGCTGAGGACACACAACCCAGTGTGGCTGTAATTCAGAGCAGTGTACTTTGTAGTGTCTGTGCTGCCATCCTGCTCCCTGGTGAGAGACAGATGTGTTGACTCTAATTATTCACTGATTGGTATCGGGAGATACATTAACATAATTGGCACATTTGTTCTAATTAACAGAGGGAACCTGCCACATGCCGTTCGACGTAAGAAGCAAAACCATTGGTGAGAGCAGGAAGCCTGCAGCCACCAGGATGGTGGTACCTGGGGGCTAAGGGTAGCCCTGTCCCACTGCAGAATGCTTTAGCAACCTGAAATAACACAGTTTAGGCAGATCCAACAGCATGCAAAGCCTGGCCAGGCTCCTGTGCAGGCTAAATGAGCACAGAGGATGTAAATCACACAAGCGATTACATATGCTGGATAACCTATTACAGAAGCTAATTGCTGACACAAATTTAGCCATGCCAAGTTACTAACATTATCAGATACTTAAATCTCTTGGCACACTTTTGTATGCGTGACTGTTTTAGAAGCCGAAGCACAGCTGCTCTAAGAGAAATACAGAATGCAAAAGAGATGTGGACTCCTCGGGTTGTTCCTCTAGCGATCTCAAGAAAATCCAGCAGGGTGCAGGCCCTAGATCCTTCACTACCCTGCAACAGCCTTCAGAGCACCTGCCAATGCCAGCAGTACATCTTCTGCCCCTCTAGGCATAGGTAAAAAGACAGAACAAACAAGCTGCAAGCAGCTGGGAGTAGTGAGAGAGTTGCCTCACTAAAAGATGACTGAGGAACCCAGAACGAAAGATGATTGTGAATCTGCCTTCCCCATGGCTTGCTAAACAGCAGGATCACATTCAATCTCATCTCCCAGCCACAACAGTGTTCCAGGTTATGTTCTTTATATGTCACAGGACCAATAAAACATTTGTGAAGCTAACCACTGATTTGGACACAATGCAAGGTGCCCAAGTGAGACAGAGGAAACTAACAGTTTTCATACAGGCTATTGAGCCAACAGCTATTTCAGGTATATTGAAATCTGAGTGCCTCTTTGAAGAATGTTTCTTGATTTTTGGACTGCTCTCAGATGTATGCTTTCATCCAGCAACAGGAGGATGCTGTCTGTCCTTTGCATGCTAGTTGGTTTAAGGTTAAAAAAATTTCTTTCCAAAGAGGCTGAGATTACAGTCATGAGAGACTGCGGAACACACGTTGAGAATGAGACAGCAAATGCAAACTGCAGTGACATTTTATTCAGTTGTTCTTTGCTTCTGCTGCCAATAAAGGGAATTTGTGTTCCTGCTGTGGAAATGCTTCCTTAATTGCACATATATCTAGCT